TCCCCACGGGGGACACAGAGCTCCAGGGACCAGATCCCCACGGGGGACACAGAGCTCCCCATGGGGGACACAGAGCTCCAGGGACCAGCTCCCCACGGGGGACGCCGGAGCTCGAGGCAGCAGGAAGACATCGTCAGAGTGACTGAGGATAAAGCGAGGACCTGGAATCCTGCAGCCAGGTGAATAAGCCTCAGAGACGGGGAGACAAGAGCTCTTCAGATGAGGGGACAGAAGTGACGGCAGCAGACCTGACCCGCAGGAACACTGAGGAAAAGTGACACCAGGTGGAGATTGGAATCTTGGAAAAGGTGGGAGAGAGCACCGGAGGTGTTGGCGCGCAAGAGAAAGGCCCTCGCTGCTCGAGGGGACTGTCTGGCCAGTGTGGCGCCTGTGACCTCAGAGGACACATAGCACAGTGGACGGGGGAAATGTCACTGGTAGGCGCTGCACGGCTCATGACGTGGCATGGTGACGATTCAAAACAGTGATGAGTTAAACAGCCACTAAACCGAGACGGGCAACAGAAGGCAGGCAGGAAAGCACGCGTGTGACACAGGGCTGTCTCCCCGACACACGGAACCCTCACCGTCATCATGGAGAGGCAAGAGAGGGTTAAGTGGGGACAACAAACCTCGGAGGGACAGCACACAAAAAGGTGCTGAGAATTGGTGTCACCAGGTAAGTGCAGCTCAAATGCACACGGAGGTGTCGCTCGCCCCAGGCTCTCCCGCGACCGCCCGCGAGGCCGACGCTGGCAAGGACGCAGCAGCCAGCTCTCCCACACCTGGCTTCTGACCCCGAGCCCCACTCCAGGGCTTTCACCTCCAAGGAAAGGACCGTGGCGCAGAGAGCTGGGTGAGAACGCACCTGGCCGTTCCCTGGAGGTGAGAGTGGGAAGCCGCCCAGGGAGGCTGGGCAGCGCCCCAGGCACAGCGCTCACACCAGCAGAAACGTGTCCCCGGGACAGCGTCCAAGACCCCTGCGAGGCCACTGAGTGCAGCCTTCAGAACGGCTGTCGGTTGGGGTCAGCAGGACTGCCGGGGCGGGGAGAAGGGCCGCAGGGGCGCCGGGCGCCGGTGGTTCGTGAGTACGCACACGTGTTGGGATGATCAGGCTGGACACTCAGACCACGCTGCATCGTGTTCTGGGGAAAGGATGCTCCTGCCACGGGCCTGGCCTCTCAGGACAGGACCTGCTCTGCCTTACGTCCCCGCCGCTGCCCAGGCTGCAGCCTGGACGAGGCACCATTTCAACTGGCCCCAGGCCTGGGTGGTCAGGGTCCCACACCCACATGGATCAAGTGGATGGGGGGGGGCGGATGGGTGTGGCATGTCCCCAGACAGGCGCCATGGTTCCCCGGGGGTGGTGCTGACCGTCTGTCAGGTGGGCTAGGCAAAGCCCCGAGGGCTGGCACACTTCCTGCCAGTGCCCTTGAACGTGGACCGAGAGCAAACCTGACCCTGCCAACCTGAGTGGCTTCCTCTGGCCCCGCGGGGCAGAGCAGAACAGAGGGCAGAGGGGAGATTCGCTCTGCCTGAGCTGGACGTCCACCTCCTGCTCTCGGTGCCAGTGCTCTGGGTCCTCGGGCCTTTGCATTGGGACTCTCGCAGCAGCTGTCTGGTCTGCCTCAGGTTTGGACTGTACTGCACACAGGCTCTTCTGGGCCTCTGGCTCGAAGTCAGCAGATGGGGGGACTCCCCAGCCTCCAGGATGGTGTGAGCCCACCCTACACCACCTCCCCTCTTCTCTCTACAGACTCCTGGTTTGTCTCTCAGGGAAGCCAGACTGACACAAATGGGAACTTTCAAATTTTCTAGCTGCCCGGAAAGTTGGAAGGGGATAGACGGATCCCGAGAACTGTGCCCTGTGCCTGCTTCCAGGCAAAAGCATGCCCATGGGGGGTATCTCAGGTCGGGGTTTGGGGCACATTTCTTGGCTCTGTAACTGCCACGGGGGCTGAGGGCTGCAACCTGTCTCCATGTCTGAGAGCTTGTGCCCTGTGGGGCAGGGGGACTGCTATGTTAGGTGGTGTCCCTTCCCCCAGCATGTCATGAGGGCCAGGCCCCCCTGGATCCCCATTGTAAAGAGGAAGAGCTGAGCCTGGGGTCAGGGATGCCCACAGCACTCAGTGGGAGACCCGCTACTTCTCCAGGCTCAGGATCTGGCTGTTTCCCTGGGGACACTGCACTGCACAGCGTCAGGTCATGGGGCTGTCCCAGGTAGTCCCTGCTGGGGACAGTTGGGTCGTCTGTGGGACTGTGCCTCACACAGGCCACATTGTCTCTCGCTGGCCCCAGCCCATGCCCAGAACCTCCTGCTGAGGCCGTCTGGTCTCATCCTGCCCCGGGAAAGCAGCTCAGGAGCGCTGCAGCAGACGGACGCTCTCTCTGACCCCCAGGTCCTTTTACCCTGTTATCCACCAAAATCAGTTAACCTTTCCCTCCCACAAAGCCAGATGGTGCTGCCCAGTGTCCTCTGGTCCCCTGTCCCTCACCCTGGCTGGCTGCATCACTTGGCACCTAGGAAAAGATAACTCTGGGTTGAACAGAAAGGCATGGGCAGTAGAGGGCACCAGTGCCCAAGCCCCTGCGGCTGGGCCCTGGGGGACCGTGGGAGGAAGCACCAAGTGAGACTCACTAGGACAAGGACAAGGGGACCAGGACCCCTGGTGGTTACCGAACCCTCCACAGAGATACCTCCTGGGTTAGTGCATCCTACCTGCTGGGAACACCCCAGGCCACCCAAGTGGCAGCCCAGGTCTGACAGAGCAGAACAGACCGCCCAGCCCTGGGCTCCCTGCAAGCCCGAGGGAACCACACCGGAGCCCAGCCACATGCATGTGCACAGCTGCACACATCCCTGCACGTGCACCTGTGCATCCCTGTGCCCACACCTGCACACACGTGTGATGATGCACACAGCCGCAGGCTTGTGACCCACGTGCAGGCATGTGTATGCACACCTGTGTGTAGGCGCAGGTCGGCCCCTGGACACACATGTGCATGTTTGTAACATGCCTGTGCCTACATGCACACACAGAGACATGCACAAACAGGCACATGGGTGCTTGACACACATGTGCACACCTGTAACACTCAGGCATACTCACACACATGTCCCCATGTCTCCCTTCTGGGGTGCTGGCTCCCGCTCGCCTGTGCTGAGGTAGGTCCGGTGAGGGTTCCAGGGGACGGGCCCTGTGGTGGCTGCTCTCTTGCCCTAAGGGTGGGTGGATGACCTGAGCGGCCTCTCCTGGCGCAGCTTGAGGAGTGCCCAGGGGGTGCTGGGGCCAGGCCAGGGGCAGAACCTCATGGATGGGTGAGGAGGCCTCTCTGCCCCCAAAGATCCTAGAGTGGTGGCCTGCACACGGGGACATGGGAGACTGCCGGGGCTTGGGGACACAGGAGAGTCGTGGATATGTGGAGGAAGGAGAGGGAGTCGTTGGGCAGTGAGGCAGGGAAGGGCATCTGGCAGCAGGGACAGCAGGACACGCAGGGCCCAGGGCCCAGGCCCGTGGGGCGAGCAAAGCAGGGGTGGGCTGCTTGGGAGGGATCTGGTGCCCGGGAGAGGGCCTGGCTTCGACACCAAGGGCACGGGTTAGGTGGGACGCTGCTGAGAGGGAGACAGCGAGGTCGGCTGTGTGTCGGAGGCTCTGAGGCCCACAGGGGCCAGGAGGGAGGGCAAGGCTCTGTGGGTCGGGCTGCGTCCACCCCAGGGCTCGCGAGATCCTTGGAGAACCTGGCACAGCCTCTGCATGGGGGGTTGGAGCTTCTGCCTGCCCAGCGAGCAGGGCTCAGAGGCGGCTCAGGTCCCAGCGAGGGCCAGCGCCTGAGTCAGCAAATACAGACTCCCATGGGATTGGAGTGGGAGGTAACAGTGGGCAACTTTCTGGCCTGCACGTCTTCCACGAGGAGCTTGGGACATACTTTCAAGGAAAAAATTACTAGTATTTTATCTGGAACTCAAGTGGACCCAGGTGCCCTGATGGGATGTGGAGGGTGGACGAGACCATGGGGCGTCACTGAGTCAGGGTCCCAGCCCTCTGCTGTCCAGTCGTGGCTGTAGAGGATCTTCCTCCCCAGGCCGGGCCGCCTGTAGCCACCTCCCGGGGCAGCTTCCAGGGCTCTTCTCATAAGTAAGGATGGGGCCGCGCCAGTCTACACAGCAGGTGTGAGGCCCCTGCCACCCCTGACCCCCAAACCTGGGGCCTTCCCCAAGTGCCTGACCACTGCCAGCTCCTGTCTCACTGAGGACACAGCTATGGGGTGTGGCTGCGGCCTTCACAGAGCCCTCCTGCCCACGTCACCACAGCTCCCAAGGCCCTCCCACCTGGTCAGTCCACCACACCTGCTGTACAGACAGAATGCAGAGGCTGCACACGGCCCAGGCCCTACCACAACTCTGTGTGTGTGTGCGTGCACAGCGTGCTCACGTGCATGTGTGCATGGGGAGCCATGGTCCTGGCCTTCGGGAATCATGCAGCAGCCCCAGGGCATGTTAGTGACAAGCAGGGCCTGCTGACCTGGTGGCTGCCGCTGTCCCTGCCATGACCCCACACGCCCTGGGCCACAGTGCCCAAGGGATGAGCCTGTAGGCTGCAGGACGTGAGTTCCCAGCACGTCCACTCAGCCAGAGCCCTGCACGGACGTGAGGCTCAGTGGCCTCTGCGTGTCCTTTGCACGTCCAGGCTGGGTGCTGGCTGTGGAGCACACTGGTTTTGGTCATGGGGTGCGGCGGCCCCTCCAGTGGGTGAGGGGCATGCGGGCATGGGCCTGCTCTCTCTGGGTTCTGCAGTCTTGCTGTGGGTTTCACGGTTGATGCGGAGAACCGCAGGTGTGAGCCCCACCTGTGGGATGACGTCACTGCGGACCTGACTCTGAGAGGGGCCCGAGCACTGTGCACAACGGAGGACGCCCGGGTCGCGCCCGGCCACGTGGGGTCCATGGTGTAAGATGGGGACACTGAAGGCAGCGAGTGGGGATCTGGCGAGAAGGTCTGTCCCCGCTCAGCAGCACCAGGCTGGGGGAGCCCCGACGCGTGGGCCTGCGCACTCCAGTGTGCGAGCAGGTGCACGATAACACGTGTGCTCTCTTGCCCTCCCTGGGTGCATGGGTAGCGAGGAAGGGGAGCCGAGTCCAGGCCAGGGTCTCAACCCTTTCTGTCTTTCTGGCCCTGTGCACTCTGGGGGCTGTTTCCAGCAAGCCCAGGCCCCTCCAGTACCTCCCTGCGGTGCAGCTCCGGCCCTTGGGGGCTCCTCCTGCTCCTGGCCGACCTCCTCTGCTGGCCTCAGCCCCTTCACCCTGATCCACACTCTCGGCAGCCGTCCAGGCCACAGTGCCGGGTCTTGGCTAGCACGCCCCGCTGTCCCCACCCTGTCCTGCTCCACTCTGGACACCGCTTCCCCACTGCTGTGGTCACAGGTCCTGTGGATGCTTTGTCCTGCATGCACCGCCTGCCTTCTGCTTCCCCCCCGAGGGCCTGGCCAGGGGCCTCGCAGGGGCAGGCCCTGTGCTCATGGACTTCAACCTCCAAGACCGTGGGCCGATTAAACTCCTGGCTTACGAGCTGCACCCCCCGATTCACCGTTGTAACCTCGAGAAATGGGCTGAGGAAGCCCCCCGGGCCAGTGACCTGTTCAGGTGGCAGCAGAGGCCAGCAGCGGAGGCTGGATCTCCCAGCAGAGCTGGCTCCTCCGTTGGTCCCAGGTGGTGGACCTCCCCCGCCTGGAGGCAGGTCCCAGAATTCCTGGTGCATGTCCAGGGGCCGGAGCCAGGAGCTGACCTGTGCACCCTCCAACTGCCTCCCAGGCTGATGGACAGCCTCCCGCTCGCCCGGCCCTGGGCGGCGGAACCCGGGTCCCCAGCTTCTTTTGAAGGTACCCAGAGTCCGGGAATGCCTGCCCTGAGCCCGTGACCCACCAGCTCTGCAGGCACAGTTCCTCACAGCCCCCAGCTGCTCACGGGCCCTTCCAGAAAGGTCCCTGCAGAGCCACACCTCCCCTGCTCAGCACATGCAGGCCCGGGGCGGTTCTGCTCTCACGTCCACTGCTGTCCTGCCTGGCCCTGCTCTTCTTTCAGGCACTGTCACCTACCCTTGGGCCTGCCCTCCTCTGGGAACACAGCCAGGATTCTGCGGGGACATTTTTGCCCTTAGCCACAGCCACTGCTCAGACGCAGCCTGATGTTAATGGTCACCACCCTCTGCCCAGCACGTCTACCTCCACCTGGGCAGTCCCACTTGTCCCTGCGAGCACGGCCCTCCACTGCCACGGCTGCCTTCCAGGGCCGCCGAGAAGGACCCCTCCCGCCTGGGCCAAGTGCTTGCTGCTGCTCCACACTGAGGTCTCGCCAGCACACGGGGACAGGAGCCACCAAGGGACAACCTAGTCTAAAAGCAACACGTCCGCCCCCACCCCGTCCCCAGGCCGCCCAGGTCAGAGCAAGCTGCCCGGCTGCCCCAGAGCTGGAGACTCGCCACCCCCAGACAGGAACCAGACCTGGGCACTGGGCAGGGAGGGGCCCCTGAGAGTGCCCGCGCTGCTCTGTCACAGAAACCCCACACAGGGCAGTGCGGGCAGGGGCTCCTCAGCCGGGGAGGAGCCAGTCCAGCAGGGGAGGCACTGGGTCCAAGGACTGAGGGTCCAGGGCCATGCTGGTGTGGCCGTCACTGGGCCATACCAGTGGGCCCCTCCCTCCCGTCACCCGGGTCCAACAGGCACATGCTGCCGATGAGACTTGGTGGTAGACAGGCAAGCGGTGGAGACTGACGGTGCTCACCAGGAAGGACTGGAAGAGCCGGAAGGAGCCCACCAGCCAGATGTACAGGTGGGAGTGCACCTTGGTGGAGGTGCCGTTGAAGGTGTTGGCCACCACCAGGAACGAGTAGGGCCCCACCGTGAAGAACTCCCAGTCATAGGCTCCGGACGTGGCGATGGTCTGGTTGGCCTCGAAGAGCCGGGTGCTGGGGTTCCACTTATAGATGACGCTGTCAATGTTGTGGTTGTCACCTGGAACCAGGGTCAGCGTTGGGGAGCAGAGGACTCCCATGGCCCCATGGCCGCTTGTGGGTCACAGCCCTCCCCGTAAACTTGCCCAGGCCCCGGCACCCCTCTGCTCTGGCCAGGGCATGGACGGCCACCTCTGCTCTCCTGTCTCCACCTGCTGGGCCCATCAGGGCCCCGTGCCAGCCCCCCTGGGCCTTCACAGCTGTTGTTCCCAGAAGGAACAGTCCAGAAGGCTCCACTGCCCACTGTGGCCTCCAGGGCCTGGGGGTCAGCACCTGTCCCACAGGTCAGACCTTCCCACCCCACGCTGCCCCTGCCCAGAGCCCCTCGCTCATGGTGTTCCCAGCCTGCCCTGCTGGAGCACTCACCCTAGGGGGACACGGGCTACTGGACTCTTGGGCTCCTCTACGCCCATGAGCTGGGGCTCCTCCCCAGTCTGGAGACGGCTGACCAGGTGAGTGCTGAGGCGTGTAGCCCAGGGAGGCCCAGGTCAGCGGTACCCTGTAGGGTGGGCTGTCATCCTGGAGCTCGCCCGCCCCCCCCCATGGAGTTTCAGGACTGGGAACAGCCGCTCAGGCACAAGCTGGCCCCTCCTGGGCCACGCTGCCACCCACCCCCAGACATCGTGCAGCCTGCGCCCAGAGCAACGACAACGTCCACATCCCCTCCCTCCTGTGGCCGCACACCCCGCACACCAGCCAACACCCCTGTTACTGCCCCTGGCCTGTCGTCCAGCATCCCACCTGCTCTCCTGCACCCGCTGACCCCTCCCCAGGGGAGAAAGGCAGAAGACAGCCCCGCATTTCATGGGGCCTTCTGCAGGCAGGGACCAGGCAGGACCCTTCCTCACCTGGGAGGTGAGCAGGCACTGTGCCCAGGAGACTCCCCCGCACACGGCCGAGCCAGGTAGTGGAACCCCAGGCAGGGTCGGGCTCATCCTCTTTCAATGAGCGCCCTGCATGAGGCCATGCTCCGCCACAGAACAGCTTCATTCTGGGTCAGCCCTGGCCTACCTTCCCGGTGGTTAGCCACTGCCAGGAAGTGCTCCCCGTCCACCTCGAAGGCCTCCCAGTCGCGGGCGCTGTGGGTGGCAATCCTCTGGTATGGGGTGAACTTCAGCTTTCTGTGGCTCCATTTGTAAATGACAGAGACCTCTTGACCCTTCTCATTCGGTCCAAAGTTAGCCACGGCCAGGAAGATCTGCAAGAGATAAGCCAGGTGAGCTCGCCCTCCGACGGCTGCTGGGGTCTGCTGCGGGGGCCTCGGCTCACGGGCATCTCCCCTGCATCCATGGGGAGCAGGTCTGGGGGCCTGAGGCGGAGCCCACCTCTGTTAGGGCTGTCGTGGGGAGGGAGCCCGTGGCCAGCGCTACAGTCTCCTCAAACACGCCCAGTGCCTCCGTCCATCACTTGCAGGTCTATCTCTATCTGAAGGCAACAGACCAACCCAACCCCCAATTCAGGAAGCAGTGCATGTCAACAGCACCATCCCCGGCCTGGAAGGGTGGGGGGCGTGCTGATGGCCTGCCCCAGGGAGGGGTCCAGTGTGACTGTGTGCCAGGTGCTGGCCATGCCCACACATTGCCTGGGCTTCCCTCGTGTGGCATGGGACCCGGCAGGGCATCAGGCGGGCGCAGCTCTTGTTCCCAGTGCGCAGGGACAGATGGACAGACAAACGCGTCTCTACCCAGGTGACGGGTCAAGGTGTTCCCCCATGTTTCTGAATGTCTGAATGTTCTTTGATGTAAGCCTATTAACTTTTGTCACAAAAACTAAAAACTTTTGAAATGTCATCAACCAATTAAAAAACAGAGCTAGTTATTCATTCACTGTCCTGGCCTTGGATGTGCTGGGCCCAGGGCCATGTGAGCAGCAGGAGGCCAGGGGTTCTGTCCGGCCTGACCCAGAGTCCAGGTGAGGGCCCAGCTGCCATCTGGGGTGTGAGGAGCTGGGAAGAGGAAGTAACCCTTCCCCCCGCAGCACCCAGGCCCTCAGGCCCACTGTGCTCAGACCCTGCCCTCTGTCCAGCCTGGCTGGAAGGGCTGCCTGCCTTGAGGTCTCCCCTGGCCTCCTGGGCCTGGCCCTCACTGTCCCTTTGGACCTGACGCGTCCTCGATGTCTGTGGGTGAGAACACAGATCTCCTCTCCCTCTGCAGTGACAGTGCCGCTGACCGGCTGGGGAAGTGCCTTAGCAGGGCTTTCGGTCGGCCTGCGGCCATCCCCAGAGCCAGACAGCGCCTAGGAAGCGGCCACCTTCCGCTCAGGAGCTGATGGCCAACTGGACACCCCGGGTCTTGGCCCAGGGTGTCGGTTGTCATGAAAGCGTGACATGGAAAAGGCCTGTCACTGCTGGTCCTGCAGGGAGGCCGCTCCTTCCTGCGGGGGCTGTGGCCTGAGGGGCGCTGGGACACCCACAGGATGAAACGCATGCATCTGCCCTGGCTGCAGTAGCCCCCGGCCCCTGCTCTACAGGCTGTGCCCTGGGTACAGAGGACAGAGGGGAGCTGGAGACACCTCAGCCCAGTGCGGGACTCTGCGCCCTTCCCCGCCGAACAAGGCAACCCTGCAGAGGTGGCCGGAGCCCCGGAGCCCCGAGCCTGGTCGCTGAGGCCGGTCTGCTGCAGGGAGGGCGGCGGGGCGCGCACTTGCCTCTCTCCCGATGGTGAAGTGCCGCCAGGACTGGGCTTGGTGTGTGGGGATGTTCTGGTAGGAGACGAACTTCCCATCCGTCCACTTGTAGACGGCGGACTTGGCTTTCCGATTGGCCGCGGCCACAAAGAGCCCCACGCCGGGGATGCCGAAGACCTCGAGGCCCAGCGTCTCCGAGTTGGTGGGCAGGCGCTGGTGCTCTTCCACGTAGTCCAGCTTGGCTTTGGCTTGTGGGAGGAGGATGGTGCCAGGTCAGCAGGACCAGCAGCAGGAGCTGGACGGTCCACTGGACGCCCCGGGTCTTGGCCCAGGGCGTCAGTTGTCATGAAGGCGTGACATGGGAAAGGCCTGTCAAAGGGAGGCCGCTCCTTCCCGCGGGGGCTGTGGCCTGAGGGGCGCCGGGACACCCACAGGATGAAACGCATGCATCTGTCCTGGTTGCAGTAGCCCCCGGCCCCTGCTCTACAGGCTGTGCCCTGGGTACAGAGGACAGAGGTAGAGTCCGTGGCGCACACCCCTCGCGGACACTGGCTCCCACTTCCTGAGGAAGCCCCACCAGGAGCAATCATCTGGCCTCCACTCACCTCCCTGTCAAAGGCTCGCGTCCAAACAGCACCTCTGGGTGCTTGGCTCCCTTGCATCTTACCTGTGGTCCAGTGGACAGGGAAGGCGAGGGCCAGATGCCCAGAGGCCAGGGCCACAGAGGCCCTGTGCTCGCCTCCTATGCCCTCTTTCTGTTTGGAAAGAGAGGTGTCCAGCCCCACTGGCCCATGCGTCACCCCAGGATGTGTGGCTGCAAGCTCCTTGTGGGGGTCAGGTCCTATCCTGAGTAAGGTGGGCTCTGAGGACAGCCAGGGTGGGCATGCTTGGCCTCAGGGAGGGCCTGCCCTGGCCTGCCTGGGGGTCCTGCTGCCACCTGCTCCCAGGGTCATTCCTAGGTCCCCTCCACTCACTTGCTCCCAGGTGTCCTAGCCTGGTCAAGGTGCTCACCCTTCACTTCCTCCCTCCCTGGTCACCTCCTGCCGGAGACCCCTGCATGCGCAGGGCACCGTGGGACAGGGACACCCGAGTCCCCGGCCCCGCCTCACCTGCCAACACAGAGACCCACTGGCTGCTGGCACACAGGTGCAGCTCCTTCCTGGCAGCGTCAAACCAGAACGTGGCATCCTGTGCCTTGGTGCACGGTGGCCGGGACCCCAGCGTCACCTTCATGTCTGCCTCTGAGGGGGAACCAGGAGGAGGCATGTCCGTGCACAGGCTCCCTCAGGAGGATGCAGGGCCACCAGGGGGTCCTGCCCGTCTCTGCACCCGGCTGAAGGGGCTCCTGGACGTCTTGCGGCCACATCACAGGTGGGCTCCCCAGCACGGAGGCGCACCCCAGGCTTCCTGCATGGCAGGACACTGAGACGCTCCCCGTGCCACCAGCGGGCCTGCCCTCTGTCCACCCAAGGCATGGCTCTCTGTCCCTTTGCCCGTGCCCTCTGGGAGCCCTAGGTAACCGGCACTGGTTTGTCTGCCCTCGGGTTGCCTCCTGGGCTCCAGTCAGGTGACTACAGCGCAGCTTGGCCCAGCATTTGACCTCACCACACCGCGGACCACACCTGGCCGGGGCCAAGCTCATCCAGCTGCCTCGTGGCTTTCTGTGGATGTCTGTGCCGCAGCTGGGCATGGTGGCTCCCAGGACTTGCTGGGTGCGGCTCCCTGCCTTGTGAGCCTGAGCCTCGGGGCCAGGCTGCCCCACCCCACCTCCCCCACAGCACATTGGGGACCCGGCAGAGTGAGATTCTAATGAACAGGCCAGCTTTCAACTCGACACCGGATGATGCCAGTCCACCTGGAGGGGGCACACCCAGGAGATGCCCGGGCTGGGCTCACGAAAACAAGGTGCGCCTCGAGGGCGGGGTCCTGGCGGGGCGGGGCTGGGGGCGGCTGCTGGACAGAGGGGTGGGAACCAGCTCCAGCGTGGCTCAGGGCTCTGCAGGGGGAAGCCCTTCTCCCAGGAGCTGAGTCTGCTGTCTGCTGGGGGGTCCCCAGGAGGGGCGATGGTCTGTCCAGGCAGGGGCCCTGGAGAGAAGGGAGACGTGCTGGCCTGTCTGGTGCCCCTGGGGCAGGGGCCCGAGTGCTCTCTCTGCCAACCTGACAGCTACCCCCTGCCATGGAGAAGTGAGAACGCGGGAAAGGCTGCGCTGGGAGCCCCAACTTGGTGCCGAGGCTCTGGGGTGTCTCCCGTCGAGGGGGGGCACTGGCCTCGCTACTCACCATAAGGGTATTTTAGCACCTCGTTATCACCCGGCTTCCCCTGCAGCACCCGTGGGATGGACAGCTCGGCCAGCTGGGCATTCCTGCTGGGACACAGCCTCAGGGTGGCATCCGAGCCCGGCAGCAGGACCAGCTGCCTCACCAGGCCCTGCAGAGAGGGGGCAGCGGGCTCAGAGCTCACAGGGGCTCGGGCAGGGCGCCAGGCTTCGCCTGTCAGGCCCATGGAGGCGCGGGCTGCGGGGAGTCTAGCCTGCAGAGTCGGGAGGAGGGCGGGCACGTGTGTCACAGGAGCAGTGGTGACCTGCACGCCTTCTCAGGTGGCGGACCCAAGGAAGGCTTTCCACATGGGCTGACTTGGAGTGACCAGGCTACACTGCCCATCCTTCTGTCCATCCCTCCCTCCATTCCTGTGTCCCCACCCAACTGCCCACATTCATCTATCCACCCATCCACCCAGCATGCGTCCAGCCAGCCATCTGTCCATCTGTCCACCTGCCCATCTGGCCTGTCCCTGCACTCATCCACCCGTCCCAGCACCCACGGGTAGACTTTCACAGAGCACCTGCCATGCGCCAGGCAGGCTTCCAGATGCTGTGGACACGACTCTGGAGGAATGAGCCCCCAGACAGCACGGGGAGGCGCGGGGGGATGTGGCGGCACCTTATCAGAGCAGAGGGGCTGTGGGCGGCAGGAAGGCCCAGGTGCCTCACCACACCTCGGACCCTGGCCCCATCAGTGCAGAGTCACAGCCTCACAGCACAGACGTGGGACAGCCCCGAGCCCTGGGGGGAGGCAGCCCTCCGCACTCACCGTGAACAAGCCTTTGGTTCTCCTCCGGCTGCCAACAAAGACCCGGGCCCCTCGCACTGAAAGGGTGGCCGGGAAGGGCACGTCAGCCATTCTGCAAGCATCAGAAGGTGGTCTCAGGGCTGGAGAAGCGCAGGACGTCCTCCGATAGTTTACAGAAGGAAAGGCGAGCCCGTGGGAGAGGAGCATCACCGTCCCCGGTGCCAGGACAAGGGCCACAGGCGGCAGCTTGATGCACAGAAATGTGGCCCTCGGTCTGGGGACCGGAGGCTGAGGTCCAGCTGTTGCAGGTTGCGCTTTCTGCATGCTTCCGAGGAGGACTGCCCTCCACCCGTCCAGCCCCGGTGGCCCCGGGCTCCTTGGCTGGTGGCTGCGTCTCTCCAGTTTGCCTCCCTCCTTTACTATCTCTTCCCTGCATCTCTGTCTCCCTGTAAGGAGCTGCCCGGACCCAGGACGACCTCACGTAGACGTGACTACAAGTCCTGCTTCCACAGAAGGCACTCACAGGCGCCAGGTGACAAGAATTTGGGGACAAGGGTCTCCCATGAAGCTCATGGAGAAAAGACGCCCAGTGGTTCTCCCCATCTCAGGGTGAACTTCCAGTGACTTCTACTGCACTGGGTCCCCAGCCCACCCACACTCCCCAGAGCATGTCACCCATGCACAGGCTTGGAATCACTTCCTGGGGAGCCAGGGCGGAACTCGGGAGGCGGGAAGGTGGGCACCCAGTGGAGGGGACAGTGTGGCCAGAGCCCATGGTGGGAAAGCATGAGTCCTCAGGGCTCACAGCTGTGGTCCACTGTCCTCTCGAAGCACCTGCCCCTTCTGGCTGTAGCCATAGAGCTGCAGCTGGGGGGTGAGGCCAGCTCTGGCTTGCTGCCCCAGAAGCCCGTTCTCAGCACACAGCCCAGCCTCTGCAGGCTCTAGGACCCTGCGCCTGGCACTCTGTGGTGGCCTGCAGGGCTCTGCAGCCTGAGGGCTCAAGTCTTCCATGGCCACAGGCACCCCACCCTGCAGCCCCACTGCCCTGGCCAGGCCTCCTGCACCCTTATTCACAGCTGTTCTTGCTGCTCGACGGGCGGCAGTCCTCCAGGAGCCCTGGCGGCACGAGGGCCTGGCGACTGATGAGCCAGGAGGGACAGAGCCGTGAGGATGCAGCCCAGGAGCTGCCCACCAGGCCTCAGCCTGCAGGGTCCCACTGGCTCCTGGCCACTCCTGGGAAACAGGCTCAGGCTTCGAGTCCCTTCCCAGAGTCCTGCCTGAGGCCCCTCTGGGGAGGGAGCGCCTCTTGCTGTGCTTGGCCCTGAACGCCTTCTGCTGCAAATCAGGGGAGGGACCCCTCGCTCCCAGGTGCTGGGCAAACCCAGAAGGCAGGTGAGGCTCCAGTCTAGCCAGCTTTCTTCTGCTGGGGGAGCCAGTGCTGGTCCAGGTCCACCTAGGCCGTGCAGGGTCTCTCTGTAAGGCCCTGGCTGCCTGAGAGTGACCAGGGAATGGGCTTCTTGGCTCTTGGAGACCCAAGATGTCATTGCCCTACTAAGAGCACAAATGAATTTTGGGGGAAGGTGGGAGGTAAGCTGTGATAAGATGTGTTAAAACTATACCTGAAAAGGTCACAGGTTCTTCTTACTACGAAGTAAATTCCATAATAACAAAACAGAGGAAGAGAGTCAGATTCAATCTACATGGGATCATTTGAAGTTAGACGGCCAGTCCCTCTGCAGCTATGGCTGGTGAGGGTGTCACAGGTCACATCAGCTGGCAGAGCCTGGGGACGGGTGCTCCCCAGGCCAGTGTGCCTACCATCAGGTCATAGTGGCCAAAGGAGAGAAATGGCCAGGCTGCCAAATGCCCTGGTCATATGCAAAGCTGCGGTGGACACTGTAGCATGTTTGCCTGGGGTTCTGTGAGCTACTCCCTCATCCTGGACGAGGAAGGTGCCATATGAAGCCAGAGGCCAGGGAGGGAGTGCCTGAGTCAGGTGCTGAGCTCCTGACTTCCTCCGCCACCTCAATAATGTCAGGGACACTCGGCACATTCCCCTGCCTGTGACCCTCAGCTATGTGCAGAAAGAGGAGAGCCACATGGTGTGATGATCTTTACCTGGTTTTAAGCCCCTGATTCTCTGACGAGCAGTGAGTTTTGTGGTTTAAGGTGAAAACACGGGTTCACACTGTACAGCGTGTATCCTGGATGCTGGGTGCACATCCTACCCACCAGGCCCACAGCCTCCTGCATTAGCTAGCTGTCCTTTCCTGCCTGCCCAGCAGAGCCGGCCCAGCTCTCCTCTGTCCAGTCTCCCTGGCCCCCACCTGCTGTGGCCCTTTAGAGGGCAGCCCTAGTGACAGCCCTTGCGAAAGCCTCTCAGTGTTGACCTGCTGAGGGGGCAGCTCCTAACAGCACTCCTCACAAGCTGGCCTGACTAGGGACCAGCCAGGCCCACTGGGGCGGGGGTAGGAGTGGGCTTGCTCCTGGGCCCAGGCCCTCAGCCCAGTGCAAGGTGCAGCCAGGCAGCCAGTGGGATGGGCTGGTCAGGCACAGCACACAGTGAGAACCCTGGCAAACCCCATGTCCTGCTACCTACATGTCCACCGGGAGGCCGCAGTCCATGATGAGGGAAAAGGATCCTGCAGATACTGCCAAGACCAGCGTGTGCCACTGGCTGTCCATGAGGCTGGCGCTGCGGAAGGACACGCGGGTCTGCCAGGCGCCGGCCATGTCCTCGCTGAGGAACAGGAAGTGCAGATGGGTGGACGAGTACCGCAGGCCGAGCAGTAGCACATCCCTCTCCTCCGCCACCACGGTGAGCAGGTACTCGTTCTTCTGCAGAAAGAGGTGCAAGGGGCAGGGCTGGGGTGGGGCTTGCGGGTGAGGGGTAGGGCCAATGGGGAGAGGGCAGGACCAGAGGAGGGCTGGCGGAAGGGAGGGGTGGGGTTAGTGGAGGGGCAGAGCCGGTGGAAGGGAGAGGCAAGGCTGGAGAGGCAGATGCTGAAAGAGGGATCCTGGGCGGGAGGGCGGGACATGGGCAGAGGGGGCGGGGCCTTGGGAGGAGGGCAGGACAGAGAGGAAGGGTGGGGCCTATGAGAGGAGGGCGGGACCAGGGTGGAGGGGCGGGGCCTGTGGGAGGAGGGCAGGACTAGGGTGGAGGGGCGGGGCCTGGGGGGGGGGGGGAGGAGGGGGGGGGGAGGGACCTGTGGGAGGAGGGCAGGACGTGGGAGGGCTCAGCGGCTGGGAGAGGGGTGGGACTGATGACCAGTGCAGGGCCTCAGCCAGGATTACTGGGTGAGATAAAACCAAAAGTATGCCTCGCAGGCATTAGGATCTACTATCAAAATACAGCTCCTGTTGGTAAGGAGGTGGGGACACTGGAACCTTCGAGCCTGTTGGTGAGAACATAGTGCTAGGCGGAGAGCAGCCTGCGGGGTCCTCAGATGTCTGACAGCACTGCTGTCCCACCCAGCAGTACTCTGAAGAGTTGATACAAGTGTCCTACACCCACGTTTGTGGCGGCAGTATTCACAGTGGCCATAAGGGCAGTGAGGCCGGCAGGTGAGTGAAGAGCCCAAGGTGGCGTGCCACGTGCCTAGACTAGAGGGGATTCTGACAAGCTGCACTGGGAGGCGTCCTGTA